ATAAATATAGATATGTTCGAGTTGCTTTTCCCGTACCATCATGAAACCATTAGTTTGAACTTTTTGGCCTCTCAGGGAGCTGAGAGTCGCTCTCTCGGAGTACGAGAAGATCCTGCAACACTGACTCTGGGAAAGAAGAAGCGCTAGGCGAAGAAAACATGTCGTCAGTCAAGGAAAGTAAACATGCTGGTGTGAATTATATTGAGAGCACGGTCTGCGTCCCTTTCTTCGATGACACATGAGATGTTTATTTCGCTCGCACCTAAAGCATGATGCATGCAATTAGCCGGAGGCTTCAAATGAGGTCTAATCCAGAAGTACCAAATAAGGACACCTACCCTGCGATATCATTTCGATATTAACATTATTCTCACCGAGTGTGGTAAACATGCGCCCCGCAACTCCAATCATGTTCTTCATTTGCTTCCCAACCAGGCTGAGAATGGCCATCTCTGGGATAATATCAACTGTACCATATTTCTGCAAGTCATTCAACGCGCCTTTCAGATCTTCGTCGATGATCTGATACTCGTCTCTACCAACTCCATTGAGGAGAGGCATCTCTGAGTGAAGGGCCATTGACACATGGACCTCACTTGTAGATATCAAATCAATCGAGAGTCTCCAGCGGTCAAGAACAGAGAATATCCCAGCAAAAAAGCCATGGGAAAGCGAGCGCTTGTTTGAATGCACATTGATGACGAGTATTTTATGTTTGATTGTGACAGCTGTCGGTCGCTTCGGCCTCTGCATGAGACTGGGGCTTCGCGTACGGAAAAGCCTGGGATCATGGCCCGGGGTTGTTCTTTCAAGTTCGTATGTCGAGTCGGGGAATATCACAGTCCCATCACCCTTTGGATTCATAACGTTCTTTATACGAATGGGAACCCTAGCGCGTATGACTTGCTCCATGGTGAAAGGATGGATTACTTCGGAGCCGTAAAAGGTCAATTCAGCTGCCTCAGCGGGTGTGATGGCTGGCAGCAGACGCGCGGTTGGGACTTTGCGAGGATCAGCGGTGAAAATCCCGTCGACCTCCTTCCACACCTGCAGTTCTTTGGCATGGACTCCGACTGCAACAAGCGCGGCGCAGAGATCTGTGTAACCACGACCAATTTGATCAAGAAGACCCCCAGGCACAGTCCCGAAGAAGCCAGTGACCACCGGCACCCTTCCTTCGCAATCCCTGATCTTTCTGCCGAGAACAGTAGCAAGATTGTTGTAGAAGTCCTGGTCGAGACCTTGACTCCCGATAGGGAAATCAATCACTTCCGCCAGATCCACATATTGCGAATCTACGCCACGGTCTTGTAGAAAGGCAGCCATCAGCCGGCAGCTAAGTTTCTCTCCTGTACTGATGACTTTGTCCACACACCGCGCACTTATCTCCCCGAGCGTTTGCGCCGCCTCTAGGACCTTCAGGACTCTTTCGCACTCGCCATTGATCTCTGAAATTAACTGAGTTCTGAGGGTCTCAGATCTTATCTGAATCTCGACGACCTGGACGTGTTCGAGCCGAACTGCCTCCACCAAGGAAACATACTCGTGCGACTGGGCGTTTTCGGCATCACGGGCTGCTCGCAGGAGTCTATTTAACCATTGCCAATGAGTAAATGAGAGATAGATGGAAGACAAAGGAAAAGGAAGGGCGAAGGACGTATTGATCGGATTTTTGCGCAGGGAGAATTTCAAGATCAACTGGTATGACTCACCGGTTCGTGGTACCTTCAGCTTTAGTTGAGCTGCTTCTTGCGGAACATACCACAGCGACTTTGTTTTCTCTGAGACTCGGCCTTGATGATGAAAATAGCAGCAGGAATACAATTAGAAAGCTTGCTCATATTCTAGGACTGATATATGAGGACTTACAGCACAACATGATCAATGATATTTAGGGCAAACTTTCCGACACTGGTGCCCCCAAATTTTTGTACTACCCAGTTTGAACTGCCATTGGTCATTGACAGAGTATAGGGACTCGAATCAGATTGTACTTGGTCTCCCATACTGCTAGATCAAGTACGAAAAGACACGCTGCCTTGCAAATGCAAGAGTTCAACATGTATGATAGTGGTCCTGTAATCGGGGCGGGGAGCAGGGACACCTTTTTATATGGACTTGGCGGGGTTGCGAAAGCGGAGCACATACGGAGTAGTGATTTACCTTCGGAGCAATTTTTTGCGGATGATTCATTCCCGAGGAGGGAAGAAAGAATAAAGAATAGAAATAATAAATGAAAAAGAAATGAAAAGAAAAAGCTTTTTTTTATTCACCTCTATATAATAAAATAATACGAAGAATGGAATAAGGATAATAATAAACAGAGTCCAATGCAGTATATCACTTATCATTATCTATTTAACTATCAATACCAATTATTACTTGTGAGCTTATCATTTTTATTATCTGTATCTCGGAGTCATCGTCTTAATTAGACCTTGAGGTGGTCTAAGTATCTGTCCAGATCTCTATGTCCCAGGAATGGAGATATATCTTTTCTTGCTTCTACAATGAGACCATAGCCAAGATTATCTTACTTGCCTCTTTCAATTAGTTGCTTTCCGACACTGTAGGTACCTGAGAACTCGATCAGGCAGCCGTGCTCACCAGTAGGATGGAATGATAAATATTGCTTCCACTGCCGAAGTCCTCAATCCCCAAGGGAACCATTATCCCCTTCCATTGTCCCTCCCCAGACAGAGAGCCGACTAACCGCTCCGAGGAGGTATGCAAAAGGATACAACCCCGCCGCTTTTTCATAGCAAGTACCCTGACTCCCGTGCCTACAATAATGGGTCAAGACGACGTTCATCACCCAACCTGTCCTTTCTGTCCTTTTTCTGATCCTGATGATACCTTTGTTGCGCAGCATGTTGAATACTATCATCCTGAAGCTGGCGGACAAACCGAGCCTCCATCTGGAGAAAACGGGGATGAAGATCGACCGACTCCCAGATACGAACAACCACAAATGCCAGGTGATGGAAACGTGTATATCAAATGTCCACACGACTGTGGTGAGATTCTGCTATCTGCTGAAAACCCATATCATCTTGATATGCATGCTGCAGAAGAGATTGCAGTTGACAATACGCCATCAATCTATTCCAAACGCCCTGTGACGGTGAGCAAGGTCCAGAACCCCATTCTTCCACGCTCTCACAATCGGACGGGCGATGACGAGGCTCTCGAAGATCCTTGCAACGTTTCAGTCCAACCCCGAGTTCGAAGACGGGAGCCTGGCCCATCCTCAACAGGAAACGAGGTGACGAGCCCTCTGCTAGCCAATGTGTCACTTCCTGGAAGTGTGAAAAGACTTGGAGTACTATACCCCGGCTGGAAGTGCTTTAGATATCGCGCTAACTGGGGCACAGCGTGCAGAACTGGGACCGTACGCTCTTGAAAAACGAATGCCGGCATGGCTCCGGAGACTACTAGAACAGGGCGCAAAGAAAACTCAATCCAACATCATCGGTCCGGATGGCAAGCTTTCAAAGTTAGAGACAACTGATAATGAGGCCAGCAATGTGATCTCAGCGCTCTCCCAGCTATGCGAACGAGATAAGTCTGTTCAGCGAGCTTTTTTCTGCAGTCCGAATGTCCGTCAAATTTCCAAGATGCCAAGGGAAGGCGGTTTCTGTGGCTACAGGAATATCCAGATGCTCATTTCGTACATCCAAGAATCTCATATCTCCGGTCATGAGCATTTCACTGAGACGCTACCGACTATTCTGCAGCTACAGGATATGATCGAAAGTGCATGGGATATGGGTTTCAACAGCGTAGGAAGAGCTGAGACCGGGGGCATTCGCGGCACCAGGAAGTACATTGGCACGCCAGAGGTAACTTCAGAATGCTAAAATGTGATAATTGACAGCATTCTCATTCCTATAGGCACAAGCTCTATTTCTGAGTCTGGGCATTGAGTAAGACCAGGCTCCCCTCAGATACCACGGGACCACAATGCTGACCTTTAGCAGCTGCGAAGCAAGTAGCATTGGAGAAACCAGAGAGATGCATGCCCACGACGCCTTGTACGCGGCTGTCGCCGCCTATTTCCGTTGCGCATGCTCCTTGGATGGAGATGATAAAGTCTTTTTGACCAACTTACCCCCCATATATCTGCAACACCATGGTACCGTGTTATCAATGTTGAATCAATTCCGCATATTGGCGACTGATGCACCACAGGTCACTCTTTGACCATCGTTGGCTTCGAAATCCGGGGTGACGGAGGTGCGAATCTTTTGGTCTTCGATCCAATGTTTAAAATCCCTCTGCCAGTGAGGCGACTCAGTGGACCAAGAACAATAGCATCTCTCGATCCAACGAATGTCCTAAAAGCATATCGGCGCGGTACTACCTATTTCCAGAAATACAAGGTGTTTGAGCTTCTCAAGTAAGTTCGGCAAGCTTGTCTTATGGTTGACTACTCTGACTTCTTCAGACTGCGCGTTTCTCAGCCGTTGCCTTCAATCTGATTAAACACGCCCGAGTTTATTGGCGTTTTCTTACTCGATGTGGGAGCGAAACAGGGATTATCATAACTAAATTCTAAACTGCATCCTATGGCACGGGCTCGAATAATGCTATTTCAGCATATACGGAGTATGAGGGCCCGTTATTACATTAGCAGGTCTCTCTCATTGTTACTACCTTTTAATGGACATAGAAAAGCAAGGATAGTATTTCCCAGATGACTATTTTCATCATATGCCAAATGACTCTTTGAAACAGAGTTCGTATGGCATACAAAGAATATTAATCATCAATATTGACTATTTCAGAGAATTTGCCATCAGGGTTTAGAGAATCAATGAAGCTTCTACATTTTTAAGCATGTGATTTGAGTTTGCCTTTACTGGTTGCGAATTCATGCCTGAGGCGCAAAGCAGTGCCGCCCCGCTGAAAAATTCCCCGAACTCCTCGATTCCGTTGCATGGTATCAGGCACGACTCATTCATCACTCTCGAGCGGTTGGCACTGTTGCTGGGGCCAGTATGCGAAGATCCCCGAATGTGATCATCACAGGCACCCCTGGAGTAGGGAAAACTGTTCATTGCGAGAAATTAGCGCAGGAGGTCGGCTTGCGACACCTATCAATAAACCAGGTCGCCAAAGATCGAGGTTGCTTCGAAAGCTATGACCAGGATTTGGAAACCTGGATCGTTGACGAGGACAAAGTACGTCGTTGATTTTTCGCTATCCGTATTGAAGCCACAACACCTATGAGGATCTTGCCTACGTTCAGGCTCACCCGAACTCACGCACGTAGACTGATGTGACAGTAGTTACTGGATGCGATTGAAGATGAGGTGCTTCAGGGCGGCTACTTGATCGATTGGCATGCATGCGACTTGTTTCCCAAATCATGGATAGATCTCGTGGTGGTCTTGCGATGTCCGTCAACTTCCATTTTATATGACCGTCTTTCTGCGAGGTACGTGCATGCTGCTTCTTCCATAACTGCCCTTCATCCTTTTCCTCAACCCGCCCTAACATGATCGCGCTTCTTCTAGAAAATACAAAGAGGCCAAATTGCAGGAAAACTTAGATTCTGAGATATTCGGCGTCTTGTCAGAGGAAGCGCGCGAAGCTTTTGACGAACAGATAGTCGTGGAGCTCAACAGTGAGGAGGATGATGATGTAGAGAGCAACTGTGCGAGGATTTCAGCCTGGATAGAATCCTGGAAAGAAAGCCGACTGGAAAATAGAGAGTGAAGCCCGACTTAGGCAGACATAGTGGCTTTCTTTAAACCTTTCAGGTCCTCGTACTTGCACTATCAAGGTAGAGGTGCCCATCTTCGAGCCACTGCTTTAGCTTGGCGAGAGCTTTGTACCTGTGAGAAACTCGATTCTATCCCAACAAATCAGCGCAAGATGCTTGAACAGTCCGCGAAGACAAACAAAAATGTTCAGGTCTGACAAGAAGAAAGTGAGATTGTATCTCCGTTCTTGTGTTTCTCCCCAAAGGTTGAGCGAGCAACTGTGAGGCACTTAGCTGTCATACCTTTTCCTCCTTATCCATCTCAGCATATGTCATCCCATTATGTTCGAATATCGGATCCCAGCCTGGAATAATTATCAATGCAAATCTAATGATCATGAGTGAATCTACTTACCGAAGTTCAATGGGCCTCTCGGCCTGACAATAATACCCTGATCACCGAATTAGATTTGTAGAACACCATCTAGAGGGGAGTGCCCATTTACCTCAGTCCTTCCCTGGAAAAGTATTGGTTCTTCTCCAGGACCACGACAGAAAGCAAATGTGCAAACGGCTTCTGCACTTCGGTCCTCGAAAGAGTCAAGCATCTTGTTGAGACCGTCATGTCCCAGTGCGCTCAAAAAATGTTTGCTAAATTGCATGATCAGTTCCGCAGTTCCAAAGTTACGATGCGACTCGAAGGTAGCTTTACATATATGCGCCTGGAAGTCCTTTCAGAGCGCGGAATCCAAGCGCTGTATCCTCCGTCAAGACAGGGCCGCCTATCTTCCATAAAGCGTCAAAATGAAAATTCAGAAACCGTTATGCGAAATCACATTGATGCGATCCAGTTCATACCTCTTCTGCTGCACGCCTAGCCTTTTCTTTTGCGATTTCTTCAATGGATCCCTGTATCTCGGGTACCTCGATTGCTTGGCTGTCAATCTCAACTACATTTCCCAGTATCGCTTTCACTTCAGCCAATTTGTTTTTGTTACCAGTGATGAAGTTTAGCTTCGCCGTAGTAATCATGGTTCTGGTGCTGCAGGGGCAAAGTCAATTGAGACAAAGGTGAGCAATGGTTTGTTCCACTTAGTTCGCGATAAGGAATGGATGAATAAGGTACCGCCTCTACCTTACAGTAGGTAAGGTAGTTACTAATGGATTGGTGATTTCCTATTGGGCAATGACCGCCTCCATAAAGAACGATAGCACAGACACAGGATGAACTGGGCCTTATACAGACTCCTCGACATGAGCGAATAAGTATAACAATATAACGCGTAGTCTCAAAGACGCAACAATAAATTGGCTTCTCATGTCTTGCTGATAAGAACTTTTGTTTCCAAGAACAACCCCGATCGAATAGCGGCACGTAGCAACAGAAACCGAAGTAGAAGCAAAGTCACACTCTCGCAGGGAAATGAGTTCATCTCCGGGCGAGTATCTTGTCGCGGAAGCGCGTGGGTCCATTCTTATATTTTTTTCGCGTAATGCCAGGCTCTTTTGGTCGTTATTGCTTCCAGGATTTGTCCCAAGTGTCCGAACTTTATGTGTCAAAACATGCTAGTTCATATACAAGAATCAGAAAATAAGGTAGAGTGAAGCGAAGCCAAGACCATTCCCAAGTTCTTCTAATAATTGCGGTTGCAAAATCTACGGTATGACCGCGCTGTAAGTTTGTGAATTGAGCTTGTGACGCATGGCCACGATGAATATTGACAATGGCATTGGTAGACAACATTAATCGCTTGGCATCACGGCAGTGTCAGATATTTCAAGCCTCTCTTGCTGGGCCATTGCCTGTGCCGAGACTATTTCTGCAAGACGTTTCAAACGTGGTGTTTGGAGCCCTGGATATTATTAGTATTCTGGAAGCCATTTTGTTGAAGCACTCACATGATGGTGTGTATGTCTCTAAGGCTGTGATGACACGAGGCTCGGCGATTTCATACGGGCCACTGTCGTCCATGTCAACGGGGGTAAGGAGGAGTACATCGCTCTTTTCTGTGACACGCGAGGCTACGGCTTTCATGATCTCGCCATTGATGGGCTGTTCGTAGTCAGCGACAAGATATTGATTCAGAAGCTTCTGGATCTGGTTTGGAGACAGCCTAAAGAATCGACCAATTAGCCTTCATTTGGAAGTGCTGCGATCTACCGCCTTACATCCAACAGATATCTTGGATTATCTCGATGTCGTTGAGAGTGGCTTTCTTGAGTTGAAGGAGCTTCGTTGCTTGCTGAGAAACAAAAGATATATCAGTGAAAATCACTACTGTCTCTTGGAAGTCAGCTTACCATCAAATGCTCCAGCTGCAATGTCCCTTCAGGCATATCATGGCTTTTGCACCACTCCTCAATCCGAGTTATGTTGTAATTGATTTGAAGGCCACGCTTCCAAGACAAAAAGTTCCTTCGCATCAAGAGATCGTTGAAAGCGGTGACACCGACAAGGCGAAGCAGCTCTGTCACGGTTTGAGTAATGATAGAATCTTCCAAGTAGAAAGCTTTCATTGCTTTGTAGACATTGTTCAGAAGGCTGAGGAGATTATCCATGCTGTACGCTGGATTGTTGTTTGAGGGAAGAAGTTTCCCGAGGAATCGATTGGTTTCACTGGTGACGAACCCAGGAAGGGACTGAGATTCGATGATCGCGGGGACAATCATCTTATAGAGTTTCTTCTTCAACACCTTCATCCACGTGTGATAGATATTGAATTCCAAGCTTTCTAAATCATGCTTCACGATCTCCAGGAGGCGGTCGTATTCGTAATTATCCGTCTTCTGGGCCTCGTACCAGTCCTCTGCCAGGAAGACAAATGAAAGCATTTCGTGCACGTTAGAGAGCCAGAAAGCGCCGGGATTGATGGCGTCATCTCCATCATGCTGCATGACCTCTTGCTGAATTGACTGCATGACGTTGGCTAAGAAACGCTCGGATTCTTTCACAAAACCATTGTTCCACATCTCTGACGTGACAAGATTGATCAGATATGCAGGAAATAGGACTTCCTTCTCGGTTGGCGGAGGTGTCGAGCTGGGCAGTGGGATTTTCAAGTTGCGAATCAATCCCATTGTGACTTCCTCGTTGAGCTCATCTTCTTCAGACAGTAAATTCTCGAGCTCTACCTCAACAGTGTCCAGTCCTGGTGAAAAGGTATGCCCTGAAAAGTTCTGACGACCGAAAGTCGAACTCGGGATTGCCATAGACACAGGCCGGGGATTGTACGCGCCGCTGAAGCGATCAGTGTCAATTTTTTCGGCCCCGGCACTCCGTCGCTTAGGCTTAGACTTCTTTGAGGAAACTAAGTTTATCAAGCCACCTGCCGGTGGCTGGATAGGACCGCTGTTCTGCGCATCTCCATTAAGCCCATTCAAAGGAATGCTTCGTTTAGCGAGCTCTAGCTGCTCTTCAAGCTCCGCGACTTGTTGGCGAAGAGAAGCCCGGTCATCTTCAGCTTCACTGTTCAGTTGTCTCAGCCGATCCAACTCCAGATTGGCAGACCGAATTGACTCCCGCGAGAGTTTCTCCTCTTCTTGCAGGCGCTTGACGATCGTTTGTGCCTCAGCGTAATTCTGCTGCAATTTGCTCATTTCATCCTCCATGGCGGCCAATCGGGCAGCAGTAATCCCAGCTTGGTTAGCCTCGGCCTGAAGCTCCCTGGTGCGATTTTCTAAAGCATTGTGACGACTTCTCCATGATTTCAACTGTGTCTCATAATTCTCCAATTGCGAGTTCAACGATTTGTTCTCGCGCTTCAGTGACTCGAGATACTGAGTCAGCTCTACCACCTTATTTTCGAGCTTGTAGGAGATTTGCTTCAGGTCTCTCGCTTCTTCTCGAAGCTTTTTATATTGCGTCCTGGCCTGCTTTCCTCTCCACAAGTTTTGGACAATGATTACCTTACGACGATACTGCTGCCATGCACGTATTTGTCGCCAGGATCGAAATGCGCGCTGTATGATCTTTGCCGCGTTGCCATGTATGGTGTCCATGATATTGCGTCGGCAGAGGAAGCCCTTAGCCACTGACTGGAACAGAATGAAATTGCCGCGAACTTCATTGTAGAATTTTCTTTCTTTTTGACCACGCCAAATTCTCTGGATAGTGGTGGCAGCTTTGATTTGACGCACTTCTGCCGCGCGCTGTCTTGCCAAGAAGCCTCTGATTAGAGCTTGCGTGGTAAGGATAGAGGAGCGGGCTTCGAGGTATCGACGCCTATAATATTTGCACCGCAGATTTTTTTGTATCATGATTGCGCATTCGTTCAATCTGGATGTACGGAGATTCTCCAGGAACGCAAGCATACCTGCTCGAAAAAATATCTTGGTCAAGCCCAGTTGATATTTATCTTGTTTTTGATGGCTCGCGTCCCCAAGCGCTTTCTGTAGAATTGCATGGCACATTTCCTTGATTTCTGAGGTCCATTGAGACGAGTGACAAAGCATATAATAACGGATGGCAAATTCCTCGTACGTCCAACGAGTGGGATACCCAGCAGTACTGATGCGGACAGTCTCAAGCACACCACAGGCTCTGAGTTGACTTAAGACCATTGGCCCTTCGAATTTCCAGGGCTCTTTGGCCTCGTTAGGCTTGATGCACCGTATGTAGTGCACATCGGTAGAATTGATGGTGTTCATGAGCTCAATAAGCGATGACTTGAAAATTCCGCCAAGCGTGGGTTTTCTGTTGACAGCAACTCCGATTCTGCGTCCTGGAGCTGCAACTGGTTTGGATGAAATCGATGCTGAATCTTTTTCCCGAACAGCAGCAGCAGTGTCTAATATTTCTTTCACAAATTCATTCGAAGAATTGCGAAGGACGTCCATATGCTCGTCTGGCACAGTATCCCTGTTCTTCTCTATGAAGCCATCAGACTCATAGGTCACGTCCACCGCATAGTGACAAATGGTGAACGCTGATTTGCCGAATCGGGGCTTTTTGTAAAACTTCTGCTTGTCGGCCGCGAAGTTGTGATGCAGCTTGGTCACAAATTGCTCATCTGAC